GCTGAGGAAATATCAAAACAGCCTAGTATTAACTATGTCATATGGTCATTAGTGTTCACTCTTATGAAGATTTATAATGAAAAGGAGAAAGCTGAGCAAGGAAAAATACAAAATGTACAATTTGAGGAGAAAAGAGGCACCAGGAAGTGGAATACAGCTAAATTCTGTGATCAAGGAGATAAGCAGATTAAGAAGTGGAATAAAGAAGTGGTGACCTCAGGGCAAGACCCCACCCAGCTAAATTCCAATTTATGAAAAGGAATTAAAGAAAACCTTAGAGCTGGGTGTGGTGGTGCACACCTTTAATCCCAGCACTTGGAAGGCAGAGGCTGGCAAATCTCTGAATTTGAGGTCAGTCTGGTCTACAGAGTGAGTTCCAGGACAGCCAAGCTTAGGCAATGAAGGTAACCATCAAAAACAGAAAGCTGGCAAAGATATGATTGAATGAGGGGGCTATGTCCCAGCCCCAGAAAGCAGCAGAAGTTGGCAGCTTTGGCCATGAGGTTCTGGCTTTAGAGTCATGGATAGAGTCTTCTTCTGTGACTAAGGGGTTATGGCCTCTCCCTCTGTGAATAAGCCACTGAAGCCAGTTACATGGAAAGGGTGTCCCTACACGGAGGCTTAGAGAGACCACTGTGTAAAGCTGTGAAAGTGAAGCCTGAATTGTCTTGGAGACACCTGCCGAGGAGAGCTGCTAACAGGGAGTAGAACCAACCCAAGAGAAAGAAGTGTGTTGCAGTCAACAAAGCTGAAAGGAGTTGGAGATCTGAAGAGCATTTTGACATTTGACATGAGATGCAGAGTTTGGAATTTGCTCAGATGGTTTTTGGTCTTGCTTTGGTCCAGCATTTCCTTCCTATGCTCCCTTCCCTACATTTTAGAATGGTAATGCATATCCTGTGCCATTATATGTTGGAAGTATGCGATCTGCTTTTTTATATTGATTTTATAGGGGATTACAGTTGAGAGAGTGCATGAATCTCAGAAGAGACTTTGAACTTTGGACTTTTAAACATTGTTGTGACTGTGATAGACTATGGGGACTTTTGAAGTTGAACAACATGCATTTTGAAATATGTTATGGCTACAAGTCTATGGGGGCCAGCGAGTGGAATGTAGTGGTTTGAATAGGTATGGCCACCATGCTCATGTGTTTGAATGCTTGGCCCATAGAGAGTAGCATTATTAGGAGGTCTGACCTTGTTGGAGGAAGTGTGCCACTGTGGGAGTGAGCTTTGAGGTCTTATATATGCTCAAACTACATCCAATATACAGTTTCCTTCTGCTGCCTGCAGATCAAGATGTAGAACTTTCAGCTCCTTCTCCAGCGCCACATCTGCCTGCATGCTACCATGACCCACCTTGATGACAATGGACTAAACCTCTGAAACTATAAGCCAGCTCCAACTAAATGTTTTCATTTATAAGAGTTGCCATGGTCATGGTGTCTCTTCCCAGCAGCAGAAACCCTAAGACACCTGGGGACTCCATAGGCATCTGAACACCACAGTACATCTAACTCCTCATGACTGCAGTGACATCTGTGTAAACTCACTTGCATTGCTAACTTTTACGCATAAAAGCATAGCATGTGTGCATGCACATACATGTATGTACAAAATACTTAATAAAGGCTATGCTACTAGCTTATATATATTTATTATGCTGCATTTGTATCATTATTTTAGGGTGTACTCCTACTCATTAAAACACAACATTAATTATAAGATAGTATGCTGTGTTATGCTGGCAGCCACCTCATGGATCCTACAATTACTGTCTCTCTTGGTTTTACCATGAGGCCACATCAGGTGACTGACCTAAATTGTTTAAATACTCTGTGATGTTTGGAAAATGATAAAATTGCTTAGTGATTTGCATTTCCCTGATGGCTAAGGATGTTGAACATTTCTTTACATGATTCTCAGCCATTTGAGATTCCTCTGTTGAGAATTCTCTGCTTAGATCTGTACCCCATTTTTTGATTGGATTATTTGGTTTTTTGATGTCCAGGTTGAGTTCCTTATATACTGTGGAGATCAGCCCTCTGTCAGATGTGGGTTTGGTGAGGATCTTTTCCCATTCTGTGGGCTGTCGTTTTGTCCTTTTGACAGTGTCCTTTGCCTTACAGAAGCTTTTCAGTTTCACAAGGTCCCATTTTGCTAATTACTGATCTTCGTGCCTGTGCTATTGATGTGCTCATCAGGAAGTTGTCTTCTGTGCCAATGCCTGCCCAACTACGTGCATAGCAGCTTATTTGTAATAGTCAGAAACCGGAAACAACTTAGATGTTCCTCAACTGAAGAATGGATAAAGAAATTATGATACATTTATATAATGGAGTGTTAGTCAGCTGTTAAAAACAATGACATTAGGAAATTTGAAGGCAAGTGGATGGAACTAGAAAAGATCATCCTGTGTGAGGTAACCCAGATCCAGAGGGACAAACATGGCATGTACTCACTCATAAGTGGATATTAGCTGTAAAGCAAAGGATAACCGTGTTACAACTCACAGACCCAGAGCAGCTAAGTAACAAGGAGGGCACAAGGGGCGTGGGTGGGTGGGAGATTCATGAATCTCATTGTGAAGGGGAAATAGAATGGACATTGCCAGTGGGCAGGGAGAGGGGCCTGAAAGGGGGATGGGGATGGGAGAAGAGATCAGGTGGGTGGGAGGATGGAGGGAGAGAGTACTGGGAGAGACAACTGGAATCTGGGGGCATCTCTGGGATGAACTAGAAACCTAGTGAAGTGGAAACTCCCAGGAATCTATGAGGGTGACCCTAGTTAAGACTCCCAGCAATGGGGGATATGGAACCTGAACCGGCCATCTCCTGTCACCAGGCAAGACTTCCAGTGGGACATCAACCTGGTCACAAACCCTTTATCCTACAATTTGTCCTGCCTACAAGATGTGCTGGGAGTAAAGATGGCATGAAAATTATGGGACTGACCATCTAATGACTGGCCCAGCTAGAGACCCATACCTTGAGAGTGAGCTCAACCCTGAGGGCCAGGACCCAGAGGTGGGATACCCCAGAGACCTAGGACAGAACTAAACACCACTGGCAAAAACAAACAAACAAACAATGAAATGATTCCTAATGATACTCTGCTGTTCTCATAGATTGGCACCTTGTCCAGTCATCATCAGAGAGGCTTCACCTAGAGTCTTAGTTAGGGTTTCTATTGCTGTGAAGAAATGCCATGACCATGGTAACTCTTAAAAGGAAAATATTTAACTGGGGTTTCAGAGGTTCAGTCCATTGTTATCATGGTGGGAAGCATGGTGGTGTGCAGGCAGACATGCTGGCTACATCTTCATATGCAGGCCACAGGAAGTCCACTGAGACACTGGGTGGTATCCTGAGCATAGGAAATCTCAAAGCCTACCCCAACAGTGACACACTTCCAACAAGGCCATACCCTCTCCAACAAGACCACACTTCCGAATTGTGACACTCCCTATGAGATTATGGGGCCAATTACATTCAAATTATCACACCCAGCAACTGATGGGAACAGATGCAGACCCAAAGTCAAATATTAGGTAGAGCTTGGAGAATCCTATGGAAGAAGAGGAGGAAGGATTGTAGAAGCCAGAGGGGTCAAGACACCACAAGAAAACCCACAGAACCAACCAATCTGGGCCCATAGAGTCTCACAGAGACTGAAGAGAAAACCAGGGAGCCTGCATGGGACTAACCTAGGCCCTCTGCATATATGTTACAGTTGTGTAACGTGGTCTTCCTGAGAGAATCCTAACAGTAAGAGCAGGGGCTAGCTCTGACTCTGATGCCTGTTTTGGGGACTCCTTCCCCCATACTGGATTGCCTCATCCAGCCTTAATAGAAGAGGAGGAGCCTAGTCTTGCTGCAACTTGATATACCTTGGCAGGCTGATATCCTTGGGAGGCCTGCCTATATCTGAAGAGAAACAGTGGAGGAGGAGTGGATGGGCGTGGGGTAGAAGGGAGGTGGGGGAGGAGATTGGGAAGAGGGGAGGGAGGGGAAACTTTGGTTGGAATGTATAAACAACAACAACAACAACAACAAAAGAAAAAAATTGCCTAATGACACATCTCTCAGAACTTATTTCTCCACATGCAGCTGTATACTAAGCAACACGTCTACCTCAGGGGTGACACATCACCCTGCCCTCTGTGCTCGCCTGCAGCCTTGCCCCAGCTCCTCAGATGGGAGTGTTAGCTTTTGTGGGTTTTCTTGGGCACAGAATGGCTATTGTACAGATGTGTTCACTCCCCCCAGAGTGGTGTCCTCTTTGAAACCCTCAGGACCAATGGAAGCTGAGCACCCAGCCTGCCTACTCACTGGGTGGGGTGTGGGGTTCTGGGGCCAAAGGTGCTATAGTGTCATACTGGTGACACAAGCAGCAAGATCAGTGTCCTCTAAAGGCTACGTATATTGACGCCTCAAGTAGTCACATTCATTTTCTCTTTAAGTAACTCTTTTCTTTAGTGACAGCATCAGCGTGGGTGGAACAAAAGCGAACATGTGGACTAGAGCAGGTTTCCTCCCTCTGACATTCAGCTTGGGAAGAGGCAGGTTGACCCACACCAGTGTTCTCTGCAGAGCTGAAGCATTCCCATGAGCTTTGAAGGGGGTGGTAAATCACCTCACGTCTGTCTGGCTGTAAAGGACTGTTTGGGTTACAGAGCAGATGAAAATCCTGCTGGGGCTGTGTCTGGGTTCTGTGGGAGGAAGTGAGTTAGTTAACTGATGGGTTATGCCTATGGCAGGCATTGGACTAGATGCAGGTGTTATGTAAGCCTCAGACAGTACTTGTGACCCTGACCTATGGAGAAACTTATAATAGTAACTTGAGGGTTAGCTGCCTTGAGTCCAAGTCCATACCGTTTATATCTGGGTCGTCCTCAGAGCCTGAGCTTAAGCATGTTCACAAACATCAAGGACTGCACGGCAGTCACATTTCACATTTCAGGTCTGCTACTGAAATGGTTTTCTCCTGCCTAGGTACCTTGATAATGCTCTGGCAGGTGGACAGAGGCAGGCCCACCAGGCTGGTGCCGTTGATGGACATGATCTGGTCCCCGATGTTCAGCTTTCCTGATTTCTCTGCGGGGCCTCCATGCATCATGTTGGCAATGATCACAGTCGGTAGAATGGATCCCCAGCCAGACTCCACAATCACAACTCCCAGGATTTCTCCTTTCTGTTTCTCTATGAAAACCTGAGAGGAGAAAAATATGTAGAAAGTGTATGTCAGCAGCCACATGGGATAGACCTGGTCTCCCTCCTTGCATGGGGGAAGAGAAAGATACTACTTTGAGGATGCCAGTCCAGGTGAGTTCCTATCTTCTCTATGCTCCATGGCATCTGGGGTCTGTAAGAAACCACTTCACATCTAGACCTTGGAATTCACCCTTGTTTCAAATGACCAACCTGGCCTCACACAAATACAGGGGGCACCAGGTTTTTGTGTTTTCCTTGAAAACATCAGTTGTCTTTTGTAGTGGGAGCTTTGGTGGCCTGTTAAACCTTAATCCATGGTGGCTTTTGGATTTGATGCACAGGTTTTCTCATTCCACAGCACTTTGTAAATTATTTTCAGTATTGAAGATTTCTGAGTGAAAAACACATGAAACACTTCTCTGTGAGGAAGAGGGTGAGGAAAAAGTGACGCTGAAGTTGCTGTGACCGAAAGGCTGTGATCACACAGGAAGAACAGATCCTGGACATATATAATGCATGTGTCACCTCTGGTGGCTGGTACAGAAGCACGAGTTAGTACTGGACCCCAGTAGTATATGGAGGTGTGCAGACCAGCAGAGTCTGCATCCATATGTTCCGGGACCCAACAAAGCCACTTCACAGGTGCCACCCACTTCTCCCAGCAGCTCCAGCAGCAGTAGGCCCTTCCCTGAAGCATTTCCCACAGCCTAGTGGGAGATACTCCCGTTACACACTGGACCACTCCCGTGTTGAGGTTCTAATCTGAGTACCTCCTCCAGCGCCTCAACACAGGGCAAAGGTATTTATAGGCAACCACGCTAAACTGAGGACATCAGCATGTACTCTAATCCAATGCACCTGTGCTCTTCTAAGAGGAGATTTGGACACATGGAAGATGACAGAGGGGTGTGAGGAGAAGAGGCCATCTGCAAGCCGAGGACAGAGGTGTGAACACAGCCTTTCTTCCCAGCCCTGAGGACTCAAACTTACCAACAGTTGGACTTGCACTTCAGCCCGGAACTGAGAGGCAGTTCCCGTCTGTTGTTGGAGCTGCCTAGCCTGTGGGGTCTATCATGGCAGCCCTAGCCAATGAATATGTCCCTGCCCATCCCAGACCAATATGGGACAGAGGGTACAGCGACCTCTAGGTCCCCCGCCCTGTGGTTCAGAAGGAAGGTCATGCCCAGCAAGGCCACACTCCTCCTCAGTACCTCCCCCCACTCCCCTTTTGTTCTGAGTGCAGGCTTCCATTAAAGCTCTTGATTAATAATCCTCTTCTAGGCTGTGGTCCAAGGAGCCCGACTCAAGACACCTAATGGATCTAAAGCTCACATTCTTATTCAGAGTTCTTTTGATCTGGGGGGCAAGATCTGAACCTTTCGGCTGGAGTTTCAAGTTGGCACAGTGTCTTTCCTGTCCCTCCTGGGTTTGCTTCCGCTGCAGCTGAGTTACCGCCTTCCTGACGGCCCAGCATTCTAACCTTCAGGTTTCCTGTTAGCTCTGCCTTACCCTTCCACGGTCGGCTGGCCCTGAACATTCCAGTGACCTACAAGTCCAGACCAGCTCGGTTGGCCCTGTCTCCCTCCAGACACTCCTGCCGAGCTCACTGTGAAACATTCGAGGGTGAAGCCCCTATTGTCTGAGCACGTGATCTCTGTTTTGCCTCGTGCAGCTGTCTGCCATGAGTGCTTGAGCTGGCATGTCACTGACCATTTTCAGTGCCCTTTCCCAGATGTGGGCTTCGTAAGGACAGAGGTCAGGTCCTCCATCCATACCTATAGCATTCCCTCAAGGGGCAGAGGATGTGTCCTTGTTTTTGATAGTACTTAATGACAGAGTCTCCTGGGAGGAAACCAGAGATAGGCGTGAGAGCCACAGAATGTCCTGCCGATACCACTGTTTTCAGCCTCGACTTCCCCAGCATGGCGGCCCCACCCTCTAGGGCCCCAGGTAGCTGGCTCAGTCTGGGAACAAGTTTTGGGAAGTACCTACATCTTTGCAGTTTTCCGACTTGGAGAAGTGGATCAGGTCATCGTTGTACATGTCCTGGGTGTTGAGCAGGTCACTGTACTCCTTCTGGCTGAGGTCTTCCGGGTTAATCCCGTTGGCCCTGAGGAATTCCTGGTACGCCACGCTGAAGGCCTGCCCTATGGACTGTGCGATCAGCTGGGCCTGTAGCAGCAGCAGGGAAGAAGGTGGTGAATGGGGGACTCCTTGGCACACGCACCCCTGGGCACTTGGTCCTTGTGGCATTTGAGGGTTTAGACAGCAGGTCACTCAGTCATTCTCTATCAGTGTACCAGTGCCTACCAGGAAAATCAGTATGCTTCTCATTATGACTGTGCCCACAGGGGAGTCATTGGCACTCAGTGGACAGGAGTCAGAGATGCTGGACATCCTACTGCACAAAGGACAGTCATACACAATGACAGGTCATTCTACATCTATACAGTTTTTGGATGTCCCACTGGACATTCATTGCATGTACCACCTTTTTCTAATCACTATATCCATAACTAGATTCTAGTTTCTGTTTAAATAGAGACTCATTGGGTGGTTCTGGCTACATTTAAAGAATAATACTACACAAAGTGAAGGAAGATGGTCCTTTGAGATTTTATAAGTTTCATGTCTTTCAAAATCATATCATTTGTGGTCATGGCATAAGCTGTAAATGATCACATCCCTGTGAGCCTGTGTATTCACCGTGGGGCATGGAGATTCTGCCTGTGTTTATAGATATGGATTCTTGCTTAGCCCTCGATTCAAAATATCAGGTATAAAGTATCTACAGTATTGCATCAAATACAATTCTGTTCTCATAGGCAAACTTAAATAAGCAGGTGTCAACATCTGGCTGCTTCATGATGCTTTTTGGAATGGCTGAGCCCAAGCATTTATAGTATCATGATTTTATCTTATCCTCTTTCCCCTTTTCATCATACTTACGGCTGTAAATTATTTTGTAGAAAGAAAAGGGAACTGGAGAGATGGCTCAGTGGTTAAGAGTGCTTGCTGAATAGCCATGAGGACTGGACGAAAATCCCAACATTCAGTAACAAGCTGGGCGACCTGTGCATGTCTATCATCCCAGCTTCAAGAGGGTAGCAGAGGCAGGGAGCCTGCTGTGAGAAAATGTGAGTCCCTGACTGAGGGAGAGACCTGCCTCAGAGGACAGGTGGGAAGGTGATAGCGGAGGCTACTCAACACCCTCTTTTGGTCTTTGTACATACACAGACACTGGGTACCTGCTTGTTTATGGGGTGGGGGCCTGGCCCAGCCCACCCTGGCCCAGCCCAGCCCTCAGCTATGGGACAGTACACTTGCTCCAGATTATAGTGGAAACAAAGCCATGGGGGTCTTTCTGTTCTTCCCTGGTGGAGCTAAAAAACAGAGGCAGAAACCCCTCCTTATGAAGTCCATGCCAGATGGAGGTAGCAGGGGTCCTGCCAGGGTCTTCCTGGCTGCTGAGCCTTCTCTCTGGCCTGCAGGAGCCAGGAATCTTAAGATTCTACAGTTTTACTCATGAGGTTTCCTGACATCGTTTATTTCTCTTGTGCAGCATCCTGGCCTCAGCCTTAAAGCACAGTGCAGAGGGAGACAGGAAGAGACATTGCTGCTTAAGGCTTGAAGATCAATGTCAGCATCTCCTGGTCTAGTGGCGGCCACAGCAATGGCAGCCTGGTTCCCTATGAAGGGAGGGACTGCCTTGGCCCCCTTACTTCTTGCAGAGGGCAACTTATTGCAGGAGGGAAGGTGCCCTGCCCGGGGAGGTCGGGTGCTAATGCAGTGCAGAGCCACGGTGGAAAGAACACCTCTGCCATGAATGCATCTTCCTTCATTTGACCTCACCTCCTGCTAGAACGGAATGGGGTCAGGAATCCTGGCTTGGTGCATAGCAGGGAACCTTTTCATGAGGTCTGGGCCTGGGGGTGATGCTCCTGTCACTGGGCTGGGAGGGACAGGGACAGGAACTGTGACTGCAGGGCAGTGCTGTACAGCTCCGACCTTTTCCCTGCAGACACCCTGGTGCCGTGAAGACCTGCTTAGATGGGCGATCTGGGTCGCTCTCTTACATAGCCTGCTTAGACAGGTGATCTGGGTCGCTCTCTTACATAGCCTGCTGGCTCTTCTTTCCCAAGCAAACTCAGCACTCCCCTGCCTCAGGGCCTTTGCACTTGCTCTTTCTGATTCTCATTTCATTCAAGTCTCTGCTCAACTGTCACCTCCTTGGGAAAAAAAATACTATGCCAATCACCCTACTTGAAGTAGCCCTGCACATCTGCGCACTGACCCTGTTTTCTGTCTCAGCAAAGCACTCCCCATGTCTGATTTATGAAGTTGACCTATCTCTTTGTTTTCTACCCCCTTCAGCCTGCACAAAGAGTAACTCATGTACTTGATTCAGCCCTACACCTGCAGTTCTAGGACAGTGCCTGACACAGGGTAGGTGCTCAGTAAATGTGTTTAATGTAGGATGAGCCAGATGGATTCAGGTCCTGAAAACTGGCCACCTAGTGGCTATCCAGGCCACCCAGAGGGAGGATGAGGAAGCCAGCCTTACGTCCTCGGACTCAAAGACATGGCAGATCATCTTGTACTGTCTTTTCCCATCCTGGGATGGGTGCGAGGCCTCCACGTTCTCCTGGGAGTTGGAGCGGGGCATCCGTCTGCGGGCCATCAGCACGACTATGTTCCCGATGTCTGCGATGTAGGAGATGGTCCTCAGGGGGTGATCCATCATAGGCTCCTAGAGGGGAAGGACAGGCAGGTGAGTAGCATGTAGGACCTAAGAACTTAAGAGGCGGTATCTTCTTCCCTTACACAGGCTGAGGATGGAACCGGGCTGGGGTGGGGCAGGGCAAAGCCCTCACTGCTAGATCTCTGATTCCCACCCCCCAGGTCCGCCCAAGGCATTCTCCTTGGCTAATGAACAACAGGAGATATGTACAGGAGAAAAACAAGAAATAGCAAACATTTTACACTGTGTAGACTCTCTGGTGGTGAAGCTGAAAAGATAAAATCTAAATGTCACTGTGTGTGTGTGTGTGTGTGTGTGTGTGTGTGTGTGTGTGTGTGTGCGCCGCGTGTATATGTGCTGTGCACTTTTAAATAGAATTTTTTAAGAGTAATGAACCTTCTCTCCCAGAGAACTCATTTGAGTGACAGACAACACACATACATTCTGAGTTTCCCTTTGTGCTTTGAGAAATCAGTCACGGTCCTACCTAGTATCAGCCATTTTTGAACAAAGTTCTTTGAGCTTGATGGGTCCAATGTGGGGTGTGGATGAAAGTCCTGAGTGAATGTGTGTATCGCTGACAGGTGCACAGCTACATCAAGGACTCTAATGTCCCAGATCCATGGGGATGAAAAGCCTTCCCTGGTCCAGGTGGAGATGTTGACAAAATATATGGAGAAAACATAGAACCCAGCTTTGCCTTCGCAGTGTTTACAGCCTGAGGGAGACTGCTCCCCTAAAGGGACCTCCTCATGAGATCAACTACACCTGCCTCCTTGTTCAGAAGTATAAACACTCTAAAAGAGTTTCCAGATGGGCGGCGGTGGCGCACGCCTTTAATCCCAGCACCTGGGAGGCAGAGCCAGGTGGATCTTTGTGAATTCAAGGCCAGCCTGGTCTACAGAGCAAGATCCAGGACAGGAACCAAAACTACACAGAGAAACGCTGTCTTGAAAAACCAACCAACCAAACAAACAAACAAAAAAGAGTTTCCAGGCTCTGCCGCTGGACTATCTCCATCAGAGCACGTGGTCCAGCAGGTCCCAGCTGCTGTGGATGCGTGTGTGTCTCCTTGCTTCATTCCCTCTTCACCCCAGCCAGGTTTCCAGGACCCCACACACAAGTCGCATCAGCCCAACACCAGGGGATAGCCACTTGACAGGCACTGGGAGTCTATGTGAGAATGCCACTGCCTTTGCCCCTGAGACAGGTGCGAACAAGCTGGTACCTGTGTATCTGCATTCAATACTTTGATCCTCTGGGTTGAAATGAAGAGATCCACCTCAGTCATCGGCTGAGATTCGCCTTCAGGAGCCTAAGAAGAAAGTGCATCAAAAGAAATTTTATTCCATTACCTTGACCCAGAGGTATGCGAAAAGGTTAGCTCACACACTGGGTTACCAAGACACACTCACCAGAACGGCAACACAGACTCAAGGGTTAAACTGCCAAAGTGGAAGGTACTACAGAGAGGATGGACACATGGGCAAGAGTTAGCATCTCTATGCTACAGGGGAAGAGTAGTTCCCCTCTGCTGCTTCCCCTACAGCAGCAGTCACTGCAGCAGATTAACTCTGGACATGATGGCAAGTGAGCCTTTCTGCAAGGGGTTTGGAGGCTGAGGGTAAGAGCAGCTAACTCATAGTGAGGACTTGGAACAGCCACGCAGTTTACCCTGCCAGAGCTGATGGAGGGCAATATCTGTAGTAGGGGCAAAGGAAGCCACTGGATGCGGTTCTGGTAAGAGGGTCTTCATGTTCACACATCACCACAGCAACACAGAAGCAGCTGCCTGCTCCTGCGGCCACCTCGTTACAAAAGAGCCCCCAATGCCGCACCTCCTCAGAGTAATTTACAAACACCTAGAAGCTCTACAATCCCCAAGGTGCAGCCTGGCTCATTTAGGGCTGAACCCTGCACATGTGTGGTTATTAGCAAGTTTTCTTTTTTTGCATCCAGCAATCTGAGAAATCCTCAAATTCAATGTACTGCAATTGAGCCGTCCCAGGTCCCTGCCACATTATTGCTCCTGAATGGCTGCCGCTTCCACACTAGAGGATTCATTTAGCATCTCCAATCTGCTCCCTGTCGTTCCTCTGCAGTGAAATGACCAAATGAGCAACGGAAAATGGCCACTTGAGGCAACTAAGTTTGGAGAAAGGCTGGCTTATGGAGCGATTCAAAACGAAATCGGAACAAAAACTTGCTGGATGCAGAAAACAAAAACAAAATCATAAAAAGGCCAAACAGAAAAGAAAAGGACAAGGCGTAACACCAAGTGATGAAGTTGTTTGTACTGCACCTTCTTCCTGCTTTTGGCTAATTTCTGGGCCGTCTGCTTAGCATGGAACAAACAGAGACAGGAGAATAGTTAGAAAAGAGGAACTGACACACTAACACTGCTTAGGGGCCTAAATCGCGTGTGGGAGGAAGATGGGCTTAAACACCCACTTGAAGGGGAAATAGTCTTAATGTGAGTGTTGGGACAAGGGCATGAAGAAACTTCTTATGCTTTGTTGTAATTTGCCTTTTTAAAGAACCCATTTTGGTTCTGTTTTTATTGCATGCCTGATTTGTTATTTTACCTTACATTTTTATTTCCATCTACTTTCTTTGGGAGTGACTTGCTGAATTTCCCCTCAGTTTCTGATAAAAAGCTACAGCTGTCCAAACTCTTTTCTTCTACTAAAGCTTTGGCTCTCTAAGTCCAGCTTTAGCTGTATCGCAGTTTTGTGCACTACAATTTCTTTACTGACACATTACAACACTTCAGCTGTGACTCCTTTGAAACCTGAATTAGAGTTGTGTTACTAATTTAAAAACATTTGGAGGTTTTCTAGCTATCATTTTGGCATTAGTTATGGGATCAGTCTTACTGTGGCCTGAGAACATATGAAGTATGACTTCAGTCTTTTTGAAAGTGGCTGAGTCTTAGGGGTTATGATCCAGCACATGATTGACTTTGGTGAACATGTCCTGTGCACTGCAAAGAAACCATTCTCAGCTGTCAATCAAGATGACTCTCATGTGAGGGGTGTGCCTGCCTTGTTCTACCATTTTACTGACAAAGGTGTGTTAAGCTCCCTAGCTGTCACCGGGGAGTTGTGTTAGTATTGTCTTTGTTCCACTGATCTTTGTTCTCTGTTTTGTCGCTGTGTTAGAGGGTGCATATGTATTTAGGGTGGTATATCTTCCTGTTGAATAAATCCTATCATTTTCTCCCTCTTTATCTGTAGCAATAATTTTCTCTTAAATTTAATAAGATTAATGTAATTTATACCTAACTAAAATGGTCATATTTCTCTTGTACTTGTAATTAAAAGATAATATAGTTAATAAAAGCTGAGCTGGACTTTCCAAATCCAAACCTCTTCTCTGCTCCCTACTATTTGTGTGATTTTGAGCAAGCCATTTAGCATTTCTATGCCTCAGTTTCTCTATGTAAAATAGGGATTAAAATAATATCTACCTCATAGGGCTGTTTTAACAGATAAAATAAATGCATGAAAAACTGAACAGAGCACTGAGCATTATGTCTGTGTCTGCTACAATGAAAATTTACACTTGTAGGATGCAGTTCTTCAATTGTACACATTACATATTTCATGTGAATGTGAGTCAGTGGCCCACTGTGGAAGGTGTTATGGCTGTGGGGTGGGTAAAGATGGACTACTGTGATGGGCTGGGTGTGTGTGAGGCTACACTGTTGTGATGGGGAGGGGGG